TGGTGGAGGGGTTCGGAAGGTGGCTCCGATATCCGTAAGATTTTGGGTTCATGGGGTACGTGCTGGAGCACACAGATATGTAAATTTAGTCAACATCACTTGCTAATTAATAAAGCAATATTGTTAATAATGCGCCGGGAACTCTGAATATAAACCTTCGATCCCTAATATAAGAGTTAATTTGACTTTTAATTTGATTATAAATATAAGACTCCAACACATTTTGACTCTCATATTTATCCGTTTTTTCTAAAATAGTCCTTGTAATAGTTACATATATTAAAATTTTTATTAAATGACAGTTTCAACTAATGCATATTATTGGCAAGTGTATTTAAAAAAAACAATACTTATTTATTACAAATAAATAACTTCATAAATTTTCTTAATCTATTTAAATTAGTCAATTAGCTCTTATATTAAAAACGAAAGATGGCATTATTGTTGTTCCCGTGCTTCTCTTTTTTACTTTCCGTAGTCTCCAAGCTTCACTCCCATTACGCAAGGTGCATGTGATCATTTATCCCTTCTCACCGCCTCTGAAAAACTTTCTTTCTTCATTTGCTTCACTTTTTTTCTATTACACTATTTTGATATTTTCTTTAGGGTAATCTGTGAATTTTATTAGATTGTGAAGTTACATTGGCTTGTCTCTCGTATATATTATGCGGGAGCTATTTTTAAAAAAATTCTAGCATAAGAAAGTATTTATATATAGTGAACATGGGGATATATATATATATATATATATATATATATATATATACATGCCCCACCACCATGGGGCATATAGAAAATGGAACACCATAGGCTGACTCCTTTTTTGGTAGGTTGGAAGGGGACTGCTGGCAGTGGTCTTGCAAAAGCTTTTTTTAGTATTGTATAAATACTTAAGTAATACTCCTCCTGTGCTTAATATGTCCTATGTAATTAATTTAATTAAATTAAAAAATTAGGTAAGTTAGCTAATTATAAAAAAATATGACATGTTTTTCCTAAAACACTATAATCATTATTAATATCCTTCCTAGCTCCCTCTCCTACTTGATTATAGTTAAAGGAATATTAATAGAAGTACTTTAGAAAAAATTGATAAATATAATAAATAGATCTTATATTTAAAATTAAAATCAACTTAACGATTAGATTCTTGGGTTAATTAATCCGCAAGTCCTTATAGTTTCAACGAATTTTGAATCAGGTCCCTATAGTTTTTTTTCTTTTTATCAGGTCCTTATACTTTTACCTTTTTTTAATTATGTCCTTGTATTTATTTTTCTTTTAATTAAGTCCTTATCATTTCACTAAATTTTTAATAGATCCATGTAGTTTTAATTTTTATTTATTAATTAAATATAAGCTTAATTAAATAGATTAATACTGAAATATAAAATATTAATAATTAAATTAAATTAATAATTATGTAAAAAAAAGTAATAGAATTAATTAATTCAGGAAAATTTTTTAGAACAAATAATTTTTTTTGCTGAAAAAATTAAAATCATTATAATAATTCAATATCTTTAGAATATTATTGTTTATAAACTAATATTAAATAATATATACTATTTTATGTTTATATAATAGTACTATTAGAATTCATAAAATAAAGAATAAAAAATTCAGGGACTTAATTAAAAATAAGATGAACTTATAAGGACTTGATAAAAAGCAAAATAAATACAAAGACCTAATTAAAAACAGGTGAAAGTATAAGAACCTGATAAAAAGAAAAAAAACTATAAGGACCTGATTCAAAATTAGTTAAAACTATAAGGAGCTGTGAATTAATTATCCCTAGATTCTATATTAAAAACAGAATGAATATTTTTTTTTTGGTAAAGATACTTAAGTAGTATATTTGTCTTCGTCCTTTTCAAATTTATGCAAATTTTATTCTACTATTACTATCTATGTTTTTCAAGTTTCAAGTTTTCAACTTTCTTGATAATTAAATCCTGATTACGTCTCGTAAAAGAGGTCAGGCCTCTCCATTTCCATTTCCCTTCATTCTTGTCTACTTCTCATCCCAACCGGCCCAACCATAAAATTGAAACTAATAAATTTTAGTCATAATAATTTTAAAACAATAATAATAAATATTTTATTCATAATTTTTTTAAAATATAAAATCTGGACCATTCAAATTTTAATCTTAATGGTTGAGATAAAACGTTCATGAAAATGGAAAGGAAGAAAAGTGAAGAGATCCGTTCCTTCCCTCTAATTAATTTCAACTATCTTGATCTTTTTCCTTGAATGGTAAAACAAAGACAGGAACTATTATTAATCGTTAATTATTAGGAAAAATAGCCAAAAAAAAACTAAAATGGAAAAATTGTAAACAAGGACCCATAACAACATTAACATGGATTTTGACAACAATTTTTACATACCAAACCCTGTATGCAATTTTTCTATTTCAATGGTCTTTTTTGCCATTTTTCCTAATTATTAATTATAACAAAAAATGTAAACGGGAAGAGAAGGAAGAGATTAAAAGTTTGATTTTGCCCATATTTTAATGAGGTAATTTGTTTTCACCAAAAGGATCGAGATTTTATCCACGAAAAAACGGAAAGAAATACACCACCACTTGTTCAAGTCGTTAAGAGTTAAACTGAAACAGTACTAGAACAATACAAAGCAAACAACCAGAAAATAAGCAATTTACGAAATTTAAATAAAAAAACCGTTTCAATGAGGTAATTGAGACAATGATGTGGTAAAAGTCAATTTAATTGCAATGGAAATTTGCTGTTTACCACAAATGCCCTCATCAGAGAGCTGCCGCTGTTGTTGTCAGACGGTGGTCGGAGACCTGCTCGGCGACTATCGGAACCCTTGCCAACGACCCCACTTTATTTTCCGCCTGTTCATGGCTGCATGAAAAATATAAACATTTTTTTAGAATTACTTTTTCGCTGAAGAAGTATAATTAGTTGTTTCTTTTTTTTTTGTTATAATTTAAATTTCAAACAGACAAAAATCAGAATAAAAACTAAATCCACCAAACTGTTTCAGTAAAAATCGTGTGGTTAAATAATTTTAAACAAGCTTCATCCAACAGCACCATTTTTGGCATTTTTAATACTGCTCCAATCTTTAATATAAGACCCATTTAACTAATTTGATTAGATTAAGGAAGTTAGGTAAGTTAGTTAATTATAAAAAAAGTGACACATTTTTTCTAAAACACCATAATCATCTTTCTTAATATCCCTTCTCCCTCATCTACTTGATTATTATTGAGAGAGTATCCATAGGGGTAATTTAGAGAAAATTGATAAATATGAGAGATGTGCCTTATATTTAGGACCAAAACTAACTCAAAATTGGGTCTTATATTAAAGATCGGAGGAGTACTTCTAATTATAATATTGACGAGATGCATTACCCATACAGAGAATGGAATGTGTAATAAATTAAACTACGTTATTTATTTATAGCAATAAGGCCATAGCCCATAAGCAATGCTTTTTGTAATAAATCTTATATGCATTTTAAGCGTCTTTATATACTCCTCCGGTCCTAATTATAAGACCCAATTGACTTATTTGAGGAGATTAAGGAAGTAAGTTAAGTTGGTTATTTATAATAAATAAGTATTGTCATTCTTAAAATATCCTTACTAATTAAGTATATTGGTTAAAACTATCATTATTAGAAGGATTATCTTGGAAAAAAATGCATAAATATAAGAAACAAAATGGATTGGGTCTTATAATTAGGACCAAATAAAAAGTCAAATTGGGTCTTATAATAAGGACCGGAGGAGTAATACCCAATGGCCGGTAATTACAATGTATAAAGAAAAGATACAATATACCACATTCAGTCCTTGATACAAAAATTAGTTGAATAATTTGAGTAGATTAAGAAAATTGATTAAGTTAGTATATAACTGATACTCTTCTCATACAAATTAAATGTAAGAGGTAATACAGATATAACTAGCTTAGTTTGTACAAATTAAAACAAATTTAGTTAATTATTTGCAAGAAAAATATGTATTGATTTCTTAAATAGTCCATTTAATAATTTCCATTAGAAACTACATCTAATAAAATCCCTTCACTAAGTACAACTGATTAGTAAAAAAAATAATTAAGAGAATAAATTATAAATTTAATAGACATGTTAGATTATGGTCTTTCATTCAGAACAAATTTAAGATTGGAGGAATAACAAAGTACTCTTGTAATTCCATAAACAAATAGTGTGCAAGCAGATTCTGTTCAATAATATGCCCATTCCTGCCTAATTTGTCATTGTCGGTGGCACAGGAAAAAAATATAAAAAGAGTTAATTCCTTTCTTAAAAAAGGAGAATTAATTGTTTCTTCCCATTTTATATATTAAATTTAAAATAAAATCATATTATAAACTATCCTTTAAATTTGTTCAATTCATAAAGTTAACACGTTTTCCTATTTTTAATTAAGTTGTTTCCAATAACATAGCTACTTTTGCTATTTCTAATACTTGTTATAATACTGGCTAAGTACATTTCGCAGGTGAGAAATACTGGCTAGGTACATTTACTCATACATATATTGAATGACTGAATGAATTTTGAGGTTTATAGTTTATAAAAGTACATACTAAAATGCAGTTTAATACATTGATTACAATATTAATCACAATAAAAGAATTAAACAGTCATTTAAATTGTGTAATTAGTTTTCCTTAATTATATCCATGTATATAGTACACTATATGTTGTCAAAAAAATTAAAAATAAAATAGGAATACAGCCATAGAAATGGGAAGGGGCAACAGAAGTGGGACACGGATGCAATTATACATAATTTGAAAAATCAATAATTTCGGCGAATAATTGTAATTAATATTCTTCTTAATATATTTTTTTTGATTTTGTTAGAAAAAATCGCTGTCACAGTGTAGACACGGCTATGCGGTTCATTCTTACTATAAATAGCGCGTTTCTATCACTTCAAAATCCCATAGTTTTTTGGTCAACAAAACAAAATCCCATAGTTTCCTCTGAAGTCTGAACGACGGTCGTTTTCTGTGAGGTGCAGCGGCACAATGGTGAAGGACGGCAACAGCTTTGTCGTTGACCACGGCGGGTTACGGAGGAGGGGATGTACGTTTCGCAAAAACGACTTCCTACCTGAGGAGTCGTTTCGGAGCTGGGGCAACTATGGGAGGGCGCTTTTGGATACTCCGTTTAGGTTCAAGAATCGGGTTATGACCCGTTCCATGGACCAAACGGAGCTCGTTGAGGTCAAGTCTCAGAGCCAGGGCGAGATGAAGAAGACTCTCACTTGGTGGGATCTTATGTGGTTCGGCGTCGGAGCTGTCATCGGCGCCGGAATATTCGTGCTGACGGGCCTTGAGGCCAAGGAGGAGGCCGGCCCGGCGGTGGTGCTCTCTTATGTTGTCTCCGGCGTCTCGGCGCTGCTTTCCGTCTTCTGTTACACCGAATTCGCCGTAGAAATTCCGGTCGCAGGTAATAATCCGTTCAATACATCTTCAATGAGAAATTAAAGTTTTGATTAATTAATTTTAATCTCTTCCGTTTAAAATTGGAAATTATTACCGCCGTACACCAAAAAAGGAATTTTTTTACCAGAAAAAAAAGGGAATTAAAATTCAGTAAGTATGGATTTTTTTTTAATCGTACGTACATAATTTTCCCTTTAAAATTTTCAGATCTTTAATTGAGTAGAAACAGCAGAAAGTAATTTTTGTTGCGTGCCTACATATATAATTCACATTTTTATTGCTTGTGCAATGGATGGAGTTTATTTTATTGATGCTTTATAAATAAAATAGTTTCTTATAAATTATATATTATTGATTGACGTGCTGAACTATTACACAGAGAAATATGCTTAGTACTTGGAATTGTTCATGCTTCCCTATTAAAATTGTCAAACTTTGTAGTGCTTATTAATTGCTTTTGAGTTATGCATTATAAACTCTTAATTAATGGTTTTCTTTTATCAATTCACCAAATAGATGCAAAAATTTTATTTTTCTGCTGAAATAATATTATCATTCTTACAAGACAACATGTGCAATCTGCCAGTGAGATGTAAGTAAAGAATATTTTAGACACACACGAACATATATATTTTATTTTATTTTGATGGCAATATATGTATATATATTATTCGAATACAGTGGATAAGACTGTAGAGATGCCCCAATAATTAACTATGCAGATGTTGAAATTTTATAACACTTGAGTAAAGGACTATTAGGTCAGGACAGACTGTGATACTATTTTAATTGTGGCTTCACATTAAAATTAATGATTGTCAAAAAAATCAATTTAATTAAGTGGCTGTGTTGATTAAAAATTTGACCTTTTTTCCTTTATTTAAAGAAGTTGATTCTATATTGACGAAATGATATGGTTGTTACAGTATTTAAATGGTATGTGTAGTATTAAAATGAAATTTCACAAAAATGATAAATTCAATTTATTCCACTAATTAAAACGTTGATTTTGTAGACAATTTTAGAAGCAAGCTCGGCAAAACTTGTGGGTCTATGCATGTGGTTTTTTATTTATTTATTTTTTGGTCAACGGAAACCGATGTGTTGACTTATGGATGCTTTACAGCTGGTGCTGGCGTGAAGTCGTCGTCGTCGTCGTCATTATTATTATTATTATTATTTACTCCCTCCAACCATTGTTGTTATTAGATAATTAATTTACATATATTAATAAAATTAGTTAAATAAGTTATCGGTAAGAAACATGTATTGATTTTTTTTAAAATACTTTCCTTAATTTTTTACATAGTAAACTACCGCTCTAGTCCTTTTTAATTATTATTTATAATAGTTTCTCACATAAGAAGAAGATCATTAAATACATAAAATCTTTTATTTTTATCTTCATTAAATTGTCAGTATATTTTTTCTCGTTCATCCTCTCTTCGGCCTTTACCTTCATATTTGTCTCCATTAATTAATAATTAATAGGAACGGAATTGGAAATGATGCATTAAAAATAGTACAAGTGGTAAATAAAAAGGAGCGAAATTCCCTCCTACAAGTGACAATTAGGATCAGAGTGGTACTCTTTTATACAAGCTGATTGATAAAATGAATGACTAGAGTTTTATATTCAAACTTAAAATATAAATCTATATTTAAGTTTGGAGGAATATGGCTGGCAAAAAAAAAGGGTCTTTATTTGGCCAAATATATATATATTATATGCGAGTATGTGTGTGAACATGAAAATTGAAAAGTCTTTGTTTTGGGAAAATATATATGCAAAATGTCTACGTTTTGGGAAAATATCTGAGCTGAGTGATTGCTATGTTTGACCAGTTACTGACTTCACGGGATGTGAATTATCTTTATTATATATATTGCTCCTTTTCAAAATGGAGGTGAAATTACGATTTTATTTAGTTCTTTAAGTTCACACTTGACTTAAAACTAGGACTCTTCTTCTTCTTCTGTTCTGTTTTTCAATGAATGACATGTTTTAATAACAAATATATTTAAATATATTAAATATAACAGCAAACGTTCCCTCAACGAAATGCTGTGGATGTAGACTTTTTGATCGTATTTATATTATTCTTTATTAATTTTTATTCAACTTTGTAAGAGAGTGACATGAGAATGATGTCCTTGTTCTTTATATTCACGTCATCGCCTCTTGTTTTTGAAATCAACGCACTGTTCCATGTCAAAACCAATGCGTCAAAGTCTTTATTCGTCATGTTCCTGAATTTTTTTAAATTTTCTTTTAATTCTCAAACGTGATATTATAATTATAAAATTCGCATCCCCTAATTAACTATAGTAATATTCCACTTATGAGGTTGCTGACTTACACTAATCTAGTCAAATTAATAACCCTTCTATTGGGACAACCTCTACGTAGTAGTGTAACTACCAAAAAATGTTAATTCAAATAGTCTAAATTAGCCTACATAATATTAATATTCTAACTTATTCTTCACTCTATTAGGTTTCTACTAAATTTTCGTCCCATTTTTACAATTTTGTTTGAATAACTTGGTATTTTTTATTTGTTGGATTGTTTGATAGTTCAGATCCAGATTCTTTGTTCTGGTAATTTTCGATTAAATTCAAAGTAATATATATATTTATAATATTTCTCTCCCAGGTGGATCGTTTGCGTACTTAAGGGTAGAGCTAGGCGACTTTGTGGCATTCATAGCCGCCGGGAACATCCTTCTGGAGTATGTGATCGGCGGCGCTGCCGTGGCCCGATCATGGACCTCCTACTTTGCCACCCTATGCAACAGAGGCTCCGACGACTTTCGGATTGTTGTTCACAGCATGGGCTCGGACTATGGCCACCTCGATCCCATCGCCGTCGTTGTTCTGGCCGTCATCTGCATCCTCGCCGTCTTCAGCACCAAAGCCTCCTCTCGCTTCAACTATATCGCCTCCGTTTTCCACATGGCCGTTATCATCTTTATCATCGTCGCCGGACTCGTGAAAGCTGACACTAAGAACTACCACCCCTTCGTCCCCTACGGCCCACGTGGTATCTTCGTGGCCTCCGCCGTCCTCTTCTTCGCCTACGTTGGCTTCGACGCGGTCTCCACGATGGCGGAAGAGACCAAGAACCCCGCCAGAGATATCCCCATCGGACTCGTCGGCTCCATGGTGATAACCACCGGAGCTTACTGTTTGCTAGCCATTACCCTCTGTCTCATGCAACCGTTCAAAGAAATTGATGCTGATGCACCGTTCTCCGTTGCCTTCAGCGCGGTGGGGATGGACTGGGCGAAGTACATAGTCGCCGCCGGGGCGTTGAAGGGCATGACGACGGTGCTGCTGGTGGGCACCGTGGGCCAAGCTCGGTACTTGACGCATATAGCTCGAACCCACATGATGCCGCCATGGTTCGCTCACGTAGACGCTAAGCTGGGAACGCCGGTGAATGCGACGATCTCGATGATAGTAGCGACGGCGGTGATTGCTTTCTTCACGAAGCTGGAGATTCTGTCGAATCTATTGTCAATTTCTACACTGTTCATCTTCATGCTCGTCGCTATAGGCCTTCTTGTTCGACGATATTACTCAACTGGAGTGACGACGAAAGCAAACCAGGTAATGTGCCATTACTTTTACGAAAATTCTTTAGATGTGAATTAAGAGATATATATATATATATATATATATGGATCTTTATAATATTTTGATTTAATTTTACCTTCAATGTTTATAACAGCAGTATAGCAACTAGCATGTGTGTTTTCCTCACCTTTCGTGTACAGTCTACTGAGTACGGACTTTTATTTTCCTTCATATTGTTATGGGATCTTCAAAGAAGAAGATCATGTTCTGGCCAAAAAGAAGAAGAAGAAGATCATGTAGATCTTATTTAGATTGCCAAAACTATATAATTATTTTTAATTTTGGTAATTAAAATAATTTTTTAAAAAAACTATCAATGAATAAAATATACCTTTAAATATTAAAAATATAATAAAATCTATTTAAATCTTTTTCAGATACAAAGTTTTACCTTACACATTGCTCTTATTGTTAAAGGAATATAAAATGTGCTTATAAATTAAGTGATGCCAAACAAGCACTTTAATAGTGTGAGTTTTTAAAAAATTCTAAAAACTCTTTAACGTGTTTATAACTAGGTTTCTTTTGGGGCATAAAATCTCAATATGTAATAGTTAAGTTAAATATGTTAAAAAGTGAGTTAAGGTATATATACATTATAGTATTTTTTTGTTTGGGAATATATGATTTCTATAAAGGTTCTAAGTTCATGAATCTGAGTTGTATCTATTGTTGCATATACATGTTAATTCTGACATGTACAAACGCGGACGCTTTTTGCAGATAAAGCTCATAGTGTGCCTAGTGCTAATTCTGGGATCCTCCGGCGCCATTTCCGGCTACTGGGCGAGTAGCGACGGCTGGATCGGGTACGCGGTGGCGGTGCCGATCTGGCTGGTGGGCACGATGGGGCTGTGCATGTTTGTTCCACAGGCAAAGCAGCCGAAGCACTGGGGGGTGCCTCTGGTGCCATGGCTTCCATCTTTATCAATTGCCATCAACGTCTTCCTGCTAGGCTCCATTGACAAAAAATCGTTCATAAGGTTTGGGATATGGACGGCATTTCTTTTGGTTTACTACGTCCTGTTTGGCTTGCATGCTTCTTATGACACTGCCAAAGAGCTTGAGAAGAATAAGATTGCTTCTTCAGATATGGTCATGGAAGAAGGAGCACAACCAGGGCCAAAGATGTAGATATATATCTATATATATATATATATATGGATATTGTAGGTTATGGATTTCTCTGAACAATGTCTTATAGTAGGTCATGGATTCTCTTCGATGTTATTTGGTTCGCGGGCAAAAAAAAAAAAAAATCCCTTCTCTCTTTCTCTCTCTAGGGAGGGATTAGTGTTTATACTTTTTAAGCTTTTCCAAATGATTGATGATTAGATAGTAGTCTGTCTATTTTGTTTCTTGTGATGTTGTTGTTTTAAATGAATTTGTTGTGCAGTTTTTGGGGCTGTTGGTCTAGATTTTGTGTGAAAATTCTTAGGCCAAATATTTCTTGTTCTAAACTACTTCTCGTTTTTTTTTTCATTGGCCAATGTTTCCTATTGTAAATGTTTCGTACAACTATTATTAGTGCTTGTTAATTTAATCTGAAAATTTTCATTTTTAGATCTCTATTTACACTCTACTATATTGCTACCACTCGAGCTATTACTACTTCCGGTCCTAATTATAAAAGCTAGTTGACTAATTTGAAGAGATTAAAAAAATAAATTAAGTTAGTTATTTGTAATAAATAGGTGTTGTCTTTCTTAAAATATCCTTAATAATCAAATGTATTGACTAGAATTACCCTTATTAAAAAGACTACCTGAGGAAAAAATATATGAATATGAGAGACAAAATAGATTGAAATTTTATATTTAGAACCAAAATAAAAGTCAAACAAAGTCTTATATTAAAGACTGTGAGTAGTATTATATATTATTAATGTATTTGAATTTATATTCTTTACTTTGACGCATTGACCCTCATTCATATATTTAAAGAAGAAAAAGTGTAGGACATACAAAATAACCACACAAAATGATACATTTAAAGTTCATCTTTCTTTTTTGTCAATTAACATCTGGCCGTAGAACATACTTTCTTGTTTTGGATGTGCAGCTAGTTGAATATGCAATTTGGTTATAAATATAATACTCCTCCGGTTCTTAATATAAGACCCATTTAACTAATTTGATTAGATTAAAGAAGTTAGGTAAGTTAGTTAATTATGAGAAATGTGACACATTTTTCCTAAAACACCATAATCATCTTTCTTAATACCTCCTCTCATTCTTTTACTTGATTATGATTGAGGGAGTATCTATAAGGGTAATTTAGAGAAAATCGATAAATATGAGAAATGAGTCTTATATTTAGGATCAAAATTAACTCAACAATTGAGTCCTATATTAAGGACCGGAGGAGTACTACATAATAATGACAAATAATCTCCTTAATCAATTTGTTTATCTCCATAACCCACAGAAAATACACTATTAGTTATTAAATGTGAGTATATCTTTTAATGAGAATTCGAATTTTAATTTGTTATGTTTAAAGACTAGCTCTTTCTGTTATATCCAATCTTTAGTTATACTTTTTTTTGGGTACAACGTGGGATTACAGTATTCATGGTCATGTTGAAATGGTTTCCTTTTTCGTTAACAAAAAAAACAAAAAACCCCCATTTCCTTAAGCTGTAACGAATTCGAAGCCCAAAATGCGGTAAAGCTATTGCAATCTCGGCCCACAAAAAAAACAAAAAAACAAGCGAACGCTTTTGCGTATTTGCTTCAGTGCGGATTTTTCTTTGGCTCGGAGAGATTGGAGCAGTCTGGCAGAGCATTTAGCAGGAAGAAAACTCACTGCTGGTTCCTATGGTCACTTCCATCTCTCTCGTCGACGTGCAGAGCCGAAGGTTGATACGAATTCTGGGTTTCCTCAGATTTACTTTCATTTCTGTCAAACAGTTTCAATCCTTAATCTTTCTTACTTGCCTACCTTTTATTAGCTCGTTGAGTGATTTCAGTCCATCAACTCGAAACTGCTGTTGGAAAGCTTTCGGATTTATGTGATTTGGTTCATGTCTTTGCGTAATTCTTTATCTCGCTTTCTGGTTTTTCCTTGTAACCTTCATTGATTAATTAATAATGAATTGATTGATTTACTTTTTTTGCTGCAAGTAATTATGAATTTCGGATTAGTATGCATGCTAGCAATTGGATATTTTTGACGACTAAGTAACATGATTGTCTTAAGTTCTTATTAGAAAGTTTATGCAGACACCTTAGGAATTGTACTTTTCCTTTTCTTTGTTTTTGTTTTTGTTTTTGTTTTTGTTTTTTTCTCCGTTCTCATTTTCAGCCAAATTATGGAAGTGAACCAGAAAGGAAAAACGGGTGGGGAAACAGTCTCCCTCACTTTTATGTTTATCGTGCTTTTAGCAAGACTTCTGGATTTGGCATGTTTAATTACCGATGAGGCTTCTGATAGGTGCCTTTTTTCCTTATTGTTATTCCGTACTAACTAACAGTGAACTCACCAAAAATCTTCAGTAGCTTACTGATTGAAAGTTCTGACCTATATGTAAGCAAGAATGGGCCAAAAGTACCCATAGCCACAATTATGCTTATTGCTGATCAATATGTTAGCAATGGTTGTTGGAAGACCATAGTAAGTAGGTGACTCATTTGTTTCAGATTTCGCTGGGGGAGTTGAAGTGGACACTGGAGTTTTACTGGCGTAAATGGCACTCAGAACTCTGAGTTTACCAACAATGATCCGAGCTGAGGCTGCAAATTTTAATGGTCTACCTCCTCCTCGCTCTTCCAACTCAGTGCCTCATCTCTCATTCACGAAGCCATCTTGGGTTGTGAGGACAGAGTCAAATGTTCGGAAGAAAAGAAGAAAGAAGCCAGATCCTCCTTGTGTAGTCTGTGAGGGGAGTGGAAGGGTTGATTGTCACCAGTGCCATGGAAAAGGGAGGACAAACAATGTTGATTCAGAAATGCTCCCAAAAGGTGAATGGCCAAAATGGTGTAGGACTTGTGGTGGAAGTGGCCTTGATTACTGCTCCCGCTGCCTTGGGACTGGAGAATATAGATATATTATGGGCTTCCATTTCATGAAAAAGGACGAAATTCAATCTGAAGAAAATAAGTCTTAGGTTCAATATTTTTTCTTATTATTTTGCTATTGATTAGTTCTAGATTATAGAGAATGCTACAGTGCAGTAAATTATTATGAAACTCCACTAATTTATTGCCTCAAACTTCTTTTGTAGAGCCATGTGATTGTTTCGTGCTTGCTGGTATTCGGTATTTGAATAAATAATATAATTAAGAAAACTGCCATATAAATGGACTAAATTTGTTGTTGCTAACACGAAAAGCCCAAAGTCCTAGTCTGTAAGTTTTGCGGCCATTAATCTGTTGTGAGATGTACACTTGTTATGCTTTCCTAACACTCAAATAAGATGGTGTAAGACTCTGTGATGTACATGCTTGGCCCAGGCATGCTACTGTTGTTAGTGTCCATATCTTTCATCTAAATGACTAACATCCATGGCATAATGATGAATTTTCAACATCTAGGCAGATCTTAACAATTGACAACCCGCCAAGATGGCTACTTATTTCCCTTTTTGTCTGTGATTGCCACTCAAAGACAAACTAAAGGACTTGACACTTATAAAATTTTGATTTTTATGTTTCTTTTTGTTGTTTAAAACTATGGTCATTCCATTTGTGTCTCTCATCGGAGAGTATAATAGACATGATCTTCTAGGCTGGTTGATTGTAATGGAAGTGAAGGTTCCTGCATGCTAATGCTGAAGTAATGGGGACAAAGAGTTTGTGACTGTGGCTTACTTTATGTGTGCTTTATATTACATGATTGTGAAGGCACTCGGCTGTGAACATCTACTCTAGTCAGGATTCTTTAGAGTCACTGTTCATAAGCAGATTTGGAGCATTCCTCTCTTACGGGTCACTGAAAAGATAATAGTTTTAATTTGATATTTTCTCTGTATAGTTTAAGATAGCTGCTATATTGTGATTCTTTAACACTATTAGATGTTCCTTACAAATATGGAAATCTTTGTTGCTTTTTAAGCAAGTGAATATATTGGCTTGGTTTAATCCTTCAGGCAGTGGCGTTAATCTGAAAATTTTCAGTCCACCCCCGGAGTACTACCATTTAAAATGCAAACAAATGAAGAGAGTAATAGACCTCCCCTAGCAGACTCTTCTCTACAGTGGAGTCAGTGGCAGTTGCTTGACTCACTTCTCCCTACTGGTGGATTTGCTCATTCTTTTGGCCTTGAAGCAGCAGTTCAGTCCCACCTGGTGTCTAGTCCTGATGAACTTAAGACTTTTATTATCCATGTTTTGGAGAATACTGGAAGCTTACTCCTTCCCTATGTGTACTCAGCTGCCTTGTCACCGAATTTGGAAACCTGGCACAGGCTTGACAGAATGTTGGATGCTACCTTAACCAATGAAGTCAGTCGAAAGGCATCAATCTCGCAAGGATCTGCACTGATGAGGGTGGCTTCAGCCATGTTCTCCGAGACTCCCTCTCTTAAAACCATGAGGGATACTTCTCTTCGGTCAGGGTCTGTATGTTTTCACCATGCTCCAATATTTGGACTTGTATGTGGAGCACTTGGATTTGATATTACTGTTTCCCAGAGAGCTTACTTGTTCATCACAATGAGAGATGTAATTTCTGCTGCAACAAGGCTGAATCTGGTGGGACCTCTTGGGGCAGCGATGTTGCAGCACCAGATTGCACCTATAGCTGAAAATATATTGGAAAAATGGTTGAATCGTGCGGCAGAGGAAGCATGTCAGACAGCTCCTCTGTTAGATGTTGTGCAGGGCTGCCATGTCTACTTGTTTTCTAGGCTGTTTTCCTCTTGAAAGGCACGAAGAGTTCAGCATACTTGACACTTCTGAGCACTCGGAAGTGTGAATGAAAATTGCAAAAGGGGCGCCCATCTGGTTTCCTTGGCCTTACTGTATTGATTACTATAATTGTTTTGAAATTTTGATCAATGGTCACTTTTCACCTATCTCCTGGCTTGTTAATACTCTGTATAACAGTATTACTCTTTGCATTCCCTGGTTATTATTTTGGGTCCATAGGCTATTTCGCATTAGAGATTTCGTACCTGGCATTGGTCTTGGAAGCATGGATATAAGGAATAACAGGAAATGAACACGACGAATTATAGTGTAAATCAAAATTTCGTTTGGTACTTGTGGTTTTTTTCCTCTTTGGGGCTACAGTTTGGTGCTTGTAGGTCATTGTGTCCTTTTTTTTTTTGGGGGGGGGGGGGGGTGTGGTGGATATCGTGGTTCGTTTTATGACGTTCCAAAGCAGAGCGTCCCATCTTGTGCTCAAAGTCGAAGCCGATCCAACGATAATGACTGGGTTGGTCTATTGGGCCTGATGACCGGCCCAATACAGATAAATTAGATATTTACTGAAGGCATCAATTTGTCCATAGAACATTTTCATGAAACCGAGATTTGAATCTGATGAAAAGAGATAGTTTGTCGCAGTATGGTAAACTAAGATTTGAATTCTTGTTGAGAGATGTTTTCATATTTAGTGTCTTTATAAGCGGCAATATCTCAAATAAGATTATCTCCAATTGAAAGATACCTATTCTGAGCCAAAAGAAAATATTTTCGTAAAAATAAGAAGGTTCAATCACAATGAAACATAAAACAAGAAAATAAATGAAAGAAAAAGGTAAAGGGGACTTAAGTCTATTGCACCATAACTTCTCTAGCTCTCAAAATTTCTTACCAAAAAAAAAAAATGTTTCATTTTCAGGCATTTCATGATTTCATTCGGATGACTTTGCATTTTTAACCCGTCAAAGGATTTTAGACCCCTCAACCTGCTTTCCGCTGAGGAACCAATCCCCCCATCTTCTATCGTGTCAATCAAAACATAAACAGTATTCTTGTTCTAGTCTTAAAGGTAAGAAATAGATAATTAATTTATAAAAATTAGTTTATCTAAGATATTAGCACTTTAATAATTTAAAGCATAAAAAATATATGCAATCAAAGGAGATGGTTGGAAAAATTATAAATTTGACAAATAAAATGAATTAGAATTTTATATTGAGAATAAAAAAAAACTCTCATTTAACTCATAGTGAAAATCACAATTAAAGAGATGGAATTCCATATCAAAAGTACTCAAAAATTGAAGAATCCAATGATAGAAGATCCTAGTTTGAGATCTTGAATTATAAATCTTTACACAATTTTAAATTTTGATTTTTCGATTTTCAAAATTCAATGTCGAGATTCTTAATGCGATCATTGTCCTTATGAAATATTTTATTATAATTCTTCCTAGCATATATTTAAAATTCTAGATGTACACGTATTTACTATTTAATACTGAAGAACCAGTCATAAATAGTTGTACTGGAATTGGACCATAGTGTAATCTTAGTTTTGTGTCTTACAGGCTGTATCCAATGAAAATGATGGAAGCAAAGTTAACTTAAAGTTTTATTAAAAACAATACCACAGAAATTCAATTTTATATATTTCTATACCCGAGCAATAAAAAAGTCTTCAACCTTGGTTGTTTACTTTATTAAATTCTCTTGAGAATTATAATATTAAAAAAAATTGATCCAACTACCCATACATATTATAATTTTATCTATCTCTTTCTTTTATGTTCAATTTCCTAGGATTATATTTTTTTTGGGGGCACAAACGACATTTCAATGAATTGTTAGCCACGCCCAAATAATTATTTATCCTTGACATGAAATATTCTACGTAGACTTAAATTTGATTGCATGTTATTGTCACCACCAAACTTTTAAAAAATGTTTTTCAGAAGAAACTGTGATGATAATGAGGATGAAATTCTTTTATTATTGTATTTGAAATTGGTGTCTTTACCATAGTTGATTGACTTAAACATCATATGTCAGTTGACCTTGACTTGCTCTTGTTTGGTTATAGGACGGCAAAGGAACTTCAGGGTAGTCCTTGATGATCCTGAATTTTCCCAGAAAGATCTTGCTTGGTTTCATCACAGGGAAGGAAACAATATGATCTCATGGTAGTTAGGTAGAATGGAAAAACAATAAACTCTTTCTAATCTAAAATGCAGGAGTTGGATAATTAATTTATAAAAATTCTGAAAAATTAATTAAATTAGTAGTTTATAAAAAATGTGCATTAATTTTTTTGAATTGTCGTTTTCAATCATTTGTATTTGACTACTCTCGTGATGAAAAACCTTTTTTTTTGGGTGAAATGATGAATTTCTTTTATAATATGCACAATTAATGGGAAGATTTTAAAAAGAAATTATAAATCTGAGAAATAAAACAGTAGTAATGCCTTGGATGAAAAACTTCCTTGATATGTTATTTTTAATCCTTGCACTGGAGAGATTACATGGTGATCAAATATTTGTATTGAAAACTATTCTGATTTTAAGATAATTTAATAAATATGAGTTAAAATAAAAAGTAATTTTAAAAGCAAAAGTTGTTGTTGTATCACTAAATGTTGCTCTTAATTAAATAACGGTATAAAAAGCTAATAGTTAATAGATATTACAAAAAAGGCCTTGTTCCCTAAATGAAATTTAACTTGTTTTGTGATCTTGGACTTTGCGAATTAAAAATTCTCTGAGTTATAAATAAGGATTAATAATTATTCTAAGCCAAAAATTACTTTTTTATACACTAAAAATTAAAAATTCATTTAAGACAAATGATTTGTTACTTACTTTTTTTATTGGGCCAACTAAATGATTTTCTTTTGACCAAAAACAAAAACCAAATGATTTCCGCGCATAAAATGAAAAGGGTTCACGCTGATTTTTGCAAAGCTATGTAATTAAACATGTTTTTTTTTTGGTAATCATATAGTTTTAGATGTTTTAAATTTTAAGTCATTTGCAAATAAAAAGTAAATAAATCTAAAGTAAAATTTAATGAGATTTTATATAATTTATTTATTTATTTATTTTTTTGTGACAAACTTTGGGACAATTCAAGAGGCAACTTCGCTGCAGCAGCGCAGCGACTGACGCTTATAAATTACCTTGGAAAGTGGAAATTCCAATTTACAAAGGACGCGCTTGCCGCTTCATCCATTTTCCGGATTTCTTTTAATAACTTTTTTAATTTACAGAATTGGGAAAAATTTTAAGAGTATATAATTCTAACGCGCAAAATTTTTTCTTTGGACAACTCTTTGCTGATTAGTGATTGGAACGACCAGGTCTTCTTCTGCACTCTTTACTTTCTCTCTCCCCTTCTTCATTCGGGGCTTGGGATTTCCCATTTCTATGCCTCGAATCTTATTCTGTGTTTAGATTTCTCGTCTTTCATTTTCCTCCCCAAATCCTTTGGTAAGTTTATCCGATTGATACTGAAAAATTCACGCTTTTGATGTGTTTTATTTTCCATTTTTCTGTTTTGCTGTTTCTCCCTCTATAGATTCCGTGTAAGTATGAAGTTCTTCTGGTCCTTAGAGTAAACGGGTTTCGGTTAATTTGTTTTTGGGTTTTACAATTCCCTAATTTGAGAGTTTTGTGCTATGGTGGTGATGATGTTTCGTTCTGGCTGGGCTTTTCTCTTAAAATTTTCAGTTAGGGTTATTTTATGCTTTTTTTCGATTAATTGTTGGACAAAATTGCTCTTGCTGCATTCTTGGTGATGACTGAACATAGAAGTTATTTCTGTCATTGAAGGCTTGAAGCCCTTTGATCTCTTGGTTTGTAATTTTGTTTTTCAGACTTATATTCCCATTGAAGGAAAATATATTTTCATTGAATTTTCTGAGAGAATATGTACGGAATATTTAATCTACCATAATCAGGGACTGGAGCTTCTCTTTATGGCGCTCATTTGGGGGGGGGGGGGGAGTAATTGTGATTTTTGTGGGAAGATATAAGATATGATATCGAGCATCTTATGTAACTGCTTCAGTAATAGTTGAAGAATGAGATGTATTTCACATGTTCTCAATATGTTTATGGTGTCCAGCGATCAGAGGCATATTTTACCTGTTGCCTGTAGATCAGGTGTTGACAGTCACTGTTCAGTCGGTTGGAAATTAGGTGGTAGGAGATGTAGATGGCATATCATTCATTTTCCCATTCTTTGTTCTTCCGTTTGAAATTTAGTAGCTAGTTTGTTTATATAGTAACTAGAGACGTTTTCTTGAAGTCTGAGGAATGAATCACACTATTTCTTGTTATGGATTTTACATTATTATGTTGTCATTTGCGTGCAATCGGTTTAGACACTTCCTTACATTTATCTTCTGAACTGTTTTATTTTGGGCCTTACAAGAGTTAATTCTTATGGAATCTACTATTTGAAAAATAAGTTTTTAAGGGTCAGAACGCTATTTATCTCATGGTTGCTGTTTTGCCCTGTAAATATATGCGTATCAACTTTAGGAAATTGGTGTGATTGGAATAAGTCACAGGCAGAGCCAATCGGCATGTTGCTTCTTCTGTGCTTTTTTCTGTGATTGATGTTTATTGACAAAGCTTAATTTGGGATATATTGGGATTTCAGAAGCCAAATTTTGGATGAGTAACATTTAGGAGCAAATTTTAATTTTTAGAAGCTGGTGAAAGAGAAAAGATGTCAAGTGGAGCAACACATTGGTGTTATGAGTGCAGACGGCCAATCATACTTGAAGGGAGAGATTTCACATGCCCTCATTGTGATGGAGGCTTTGTGATAGAACTTGGTGAGGTGCAAAGAACAGAACATCTGGAAGATTTTCATCAAGTACCCGATATCTTTGGTGCTATTCATGCTGTTATGGGGAGGAGATTTCCAGAAACAAGTTTTCTAGATTCAGTTGATAACATCATGAGGCACAGAATGGCTGGACGAAACCCAAACTTCGATGTGAGAAGGCGCTCTATAGCTGCCATGGGTCCTGATCAGAGCTGGGGTGTTATTAGTTCTGGTCCTTACTTGATATTTCATGGCCAAGTTCCTGGATTCACTTTGACTAATGGCATCCCTAGAGGCGGTCCTAGGCGTGTTGATGTTAGTGACTACTTTATGGGGCCTGGGCTGGAAGAACTTATTGAACAACTCACTATGAATGATCGGCATGGTCCGCCCCCAGCCTCGCGTTCTTCAATTGATGCAATGCCTACAATAACAATCACACAGGCTCATCTTCGTTCTGACTCTCACTGTCCGGTTTGTCAAGACAAATTTGAACTTGGTTCTGAGGCAAGGGCGATGCCATGTAGCCATGTTTATCATTCTGACTGTATTGTCCCTTGGTTGGTTCAACATAACTCATGCCCTGTTTGCCGTGTTGAGTTACCACCACATGGACAAGTTAGTCCTCATGCTAGTCGTAATGTGGGAGGAAGTAATGCAGAAAGCACCAACAATGATAACCTTAGAGAGAGAGAGCATAGCCAACAGAACCAAGGAAGGCGGAGTCCGTTTTCATTTTTGTGGCCATTCCGTTCTTCTAGCTCAAGCAGTAATCAATATGCTGAGACTAGAGGAAGCAACTCTTCAAATAGTCGTGACCAGAATAATGGAACGAACCATGGCCGATGGCGCTTTGATGAGTAAATTTTCTTTTCCTCTCCTTTATTGGTATTAGTTACTTCCTAATAATGCTTTTGTAAATTAAATGAGATGGGGAAAAGAAATCTTGGAAGATTGTAATTCAAAATTTCAAATATATGCAAGGGAGGTGATGGATGGAAGCCCGTGAACATCACATTGTACATGTATCGATGCTCGGTGAGTTGAATGAATCTGCAGCTTTCACCTGCTATTATGCAATTTGGTTGTTGTAGTGATTGCCTATATTGGCCATTTGAGTGTGGGATTGCTGGTCCATTTCAAATTAACCATGATGCTGGGCTGAGTAAAGCACTGGAAATTTACTTTGCAGGAATTTGAGGCCTTTCTTAATTGCTTTTAAGGACACAAATAATTTGCTGAGATGATTGGTTTATTATTCTGATTGGTGTTTCAGAAATTTGATGCAGTTGCATTGTGCTTGAGAAATTCTGTCAGTGTGCTTAGGTATGTGTTTGGCATGAAGGAAATTTTTGGGAATGAGGTGGCCAAAACTTTCCTGTAGGAAATCTTCCTGATCTCTCCGTTGATCTTGAGAATATTAATAGATATATAGAAGTAGCAAGAAAATAATTTTATAAATGAACGATGACTTTCATATCACGCTTTTTTTTTAAAAAAGATTATCAGGATAATGTTATTTATTCTCTTTTGGATCAAGGTTATTGGAAACCAAAAATGCAAAACTGTTGGAAAAAAACGTGCGGGAGACGTGTGGCAATATGTTTTTGGTCAAGAAAGGTAAGAAGAGTGGTAAAAACTAGAAAGCCAAGTGGTGAGTATAAGAAATATTTTTAATGGCATGAAGAGACTAAAGGGGTGTTTGGGCACCATAAGAAGTGTTTCTCAGAAGTATTTTTTTACAATTTGAAATAAATTCATTCATATATTTATTTTGTATACTGTAAAAGCATTTTTAAAATTATAAAGATTTTCTATAAATTAATTCATAAATTAATTCATTCATCCGAGAAACTGATAAAACCAACATTCTTGTCTTTGTATTACAAAAATCCAGGTTCAACTAATTTAGTGTATTTCTATAAAGATTCACATTTTTTCTGTTAAAAAAAAAAAACTCTGGTCTCTTTCTACAAGACCTAGTTTTGAGGGGTATACAGTTGCTCTTTTTAAAACCCTTTTTGAAATTCTAGAATGATTTTTGTGTTTTTCTTTTGTTGCCAACCCCAACTAAATGATTACGGGTTGGATAGGCAAGAAGGAAAAAGACAAAAACAAGACAGACCAACTTATTGGCATCCATGAATTTCAAAAACGGCTTTACATAAAGGGACAGAGGGATCGGTACAAAACCTTAGCTGACATGTTTAAGAGTTTTTCAACCAGCAAATTAAACGCAATAATAATGGAAGAAACATGAAGATCTATGTGTTAAATTGGAATCTTTTGGGTTTGGTAAGGACTGGTTGGCATCTCTTGGTGACAAGATGAAACAACTACTTCAATTGGAATCTGAAGTGAGAACTGGGCAAGTAGTACAAAGGATGATATATCCAAAATAAAACTTGACGTGATTGGCTTTGGTATTAATTCATGCAACACCTGAGGCTACCATTCTTATTCCAACTTCCATTTTTCATGTTGCGGCGGTGTTACACTCCACGGCTTGAGAAACTCCAAATAATATTCAGAGTTTCAGATATCAACTAATTATGCACTACCTCTAATGAGGTCTTATAACTAGAACTTCAAAACCACAAATGAGGTCTTATAACCGGAGGTAGTATAACATTGCAGGTGGCCAAAACATAAAAGCGATGGTTCAAGCAGGCTAGGCTCACCGGACATCAGGGGCTGGCGGCCTGTGATCCTTCCATTGTGAGGCGCCGCCCTGTGAAACCGGCCTCACGCCCCTCTTGTCTAGGAAGGCTCAGCTCTCCACTTGGCACGGGCAGGCCCTCTTATTGGCTCCTCTAACCCCACACGTAATGTCAAAACTGGCTCTATCAACCTAGTATTCTCATTCCCACTTGGGTTGCAAGCCAGTGTTGCCAAACCCCGCCCGCTGCTGATGTCACTACATTTTATATAGCTTGTTTCTTATAATACTCGATATGGGACTTGTCTCCAACTACTTGTCAAAGTAATAAGCATCTTTTATTTTTTTTCCTTCAAATACCTCAATTCTGCATGTGGTTGGAAATTATTTCGTAAAACTGGCTCCATGTGGCTGAATTCATCAACCTTTTGTATTTTCATTATTTACAAGATGACGGTCTTTCATAGACCGGAGGGATTTTCCTGGACATCGTTTTTCTTTCATTTTTCATCCAAATTGTAAGTTGATTATATCATACCATTAGAAAGCTTGTACATACAACTTCTTGACCATATATGACTTGTACATCCCAATAAATGATTAAGGATAAGCAGGAATGAGAAGAAGAAGAAACAAAGGCATTTACGAACTCGATGGCATCCAGGAGTCTGAAAACTGGGTTTTACTTGCACAGAGACAGAGGGAGTACAAAACTAAAAAGATAATTAGTAATCATCGCAAAAAATTAAATTTACAATCACCTTAATAACATGATATAATATATTACGGAGAATGATTTCCAGTTTATACACATTTCTGTTTTGTTGTTTCTCCCTCTATAGATTCCGTGTACGTATGAAGTTCTTCTAGTCTTTAGAGTAAACGGGTTTCGGTTAATTCGTTTTTGATGTTACAATCCCTAATTTGAAAGTTTTGTGCTATGGCGGTGATGATGTTTCGTTCTGGTTGGGCTTTTCTCTCAAAATTTTCGGTCAGTGTTATTTTATGCTTTATTCGGATTGTTGGACAAAATTGCTCTTGCTGCATTCTTGTTGATGACTGAGCATAGAAGTTATTTCTGTCATTGAAGGCTTGAAGCCCTTTGATCTCTTGATTTGTAATTTTATTTTTCAGAATTATGTTTCCATTGAGGGAAAATATATTTTCATTGAATTTTCTGAGAGAATATGCACGGAATATTTAATCTACCATAATCAGGAACCAGAGCTTCTCTTTATGGCGCCCATGAAGAGAAAAAAGAGTCATTGTGATTTTTGTGGGAAGACATCAGCTATGATATCGAGCATCTTATGTAACCGCTTCACTTATAGTTGAAGAATGAGGTGTCTTTCACATGCTCTCAATATGTTTATGGTGCCTAGCGATCAGAGGCATATTTTACCTGCTGCCTTCAGATCAGGTGTTGACAGTCACTGTTCACTCGGTTGGAAATTAGGTGGTAGGAGATGTAGATGGCATATCATTCATTTTCCCATTCTTTGTTCTTCCCTTTCAAATTTAGTAGCTAGTTTGTTTATGTAATAACTAGAGACGTTTTCTTGAATTCTGAGGAATGAATCACACTATTTCTTGTTATGGATTTTATATTATTATGTTGTCATTTCCGTGCAATCAATTTAAACACTTCCTTACATTTATCTTCTGCATTGTTTTATTTGGGCCTTGCTAGAGTCAATCTTTATGGAATCTACTATTTGAAAAACTAGAATGTGCTTCTCCCGTGCGTTGCACGGGGAGCTTCTCTAACCAAGATGAAAATTTCTAACGATGTCCAAAATATATTCATATAAATTATGTGATTCATTTTCAACAGTTACAAAAGCTAATTAGAAAAACTTTTATTTTTGTAAAGATAAAAATTACTTTCTAAATATAATTTAAATGAAACATAAACATAATATTCATGTTGAAAAAAAAACTTCAAAACTGTTAGGAAAACAACAAAAATAAGTAATACTTAAAAAAAAAAATTAAATGACACGAAGTATTTCGGAAGAAAAACTTGTCATTAAATCTTATATTTATTGTTTTCAACTTTTATAAAAATAGATTAAAGCCATCTGCATAATATAACAATCCAATAATATCAACTCAAAACATTCAGATGATGACCGTAATAGTAGAAGACTTTTTCAAGCAGCCCCCCCCCCCATGGCATTGGACAGCATATATTTGCATCAATAGCCGTCTAAAATGCTTTTTATTACCATGTTGTAGGAACTTACTTTTTTTCCATTTTCGTATGACAATATCCTTTTCCTTCATAATACAATACATCCATTCATTGAAGTGTTGAAGAATTACCAAAAAAATCTTAAAATTTAGCTTTATTATAACGCCAAAGATGGTGAAAAATCTTAAAAGCAACCTCATCTTAAAATTTAGCATTATCTTCCGGATTATACTTATCATGCATATAAAAAATTAACAAATTTAATTCTCATTTGAAGCAACTTAACTACACATTACAACAAAACTGGAGACACAACAAATCATAATTGCGGCATGTAAACCAAAAAAAAAAGGTGCTTGAACAGCAATAAGGAGAGCTTTCCTCCCACGTGCAACGTTCAGACCAAGACAAGCACCTTCAACCTTATATCATCATTATTTTCTCCAGTGGCTGTATGTTCTACAAGTTCCTCTTTCTTCCTTGCTTCTTCCAATTCCTTCAACATCCCAACCTTTCGTTCAATTTCCTCTGTCAACTCTTGGGACGAAGCTTCTATACCTTTTGCTTCCATTTGTCCTTGCTGCACAATGCACAACAAAAATACACACAAATTTGTTTCAGATATTTCCTTGTTAAGAAGACGCAGAGAAAATAATTTGTTTCAGATATTCCCTTGGCTTGCCTTATGTTTCCAAAAAAACAATTGATGCTCACTATCTACAAACATCTTCGACCATGGCCTGGGTACTTCTCCCTAAATAAAGAACTAAAGCCCACGATTGGAAAGACGGCCCCACCCCCCCGAGCTTGTATGTTCATAATTTTCATGCAATGGAATATATGCAAGAATTATACAAAAATACCATATGCAAAGTGATTAAAATGAAGACGATGATTAGATAATAGATACCTACAATATACGGTGAGCGGATGTCTGACCAATATATTCCCATCCACCGCTGCTCATAGTCATCTTCATTCTTTGCTCCCGTTTATCTTCCAAAAAGAACAGAGATTAGGCCCACCTTATTGGTGAAAAAACTATATAAAGAACAGAATAGATGGCTTATCTCACTCCAAAGGTGCCTTCTTACTCTGCTTCAACATGGATTTAACCCAAAAATAGAAAATCATTAAAGAGTACTAGCAATAGGAAAGGATTACCTTGACTCAATAATTTACTGCTTTTCAATGAGATTGAAACAGCAGAGAAGAAATCTGAATCAGAGAAGAAAATAATAATCTGAATCAAAGAAACACTTTGTCTTCGCGTTATTTTGCTCTAGGGCATGAAACTTACCGATTGGTTTAAGGAGATTTGATACTCCTCTTTGCTTAGACAGTCAGCCAAAACCTCACGACGTTGGCCTCAATGAACCTGGACTCTGTTCTTCCGTCAACGTCATCCTCTTTCTCCGTTCCTCAT